GGCTTCAGCAGTTCCCGGGGGAGCCCCTTTCCAGGCCCGCCCACTGGGTGCCTGTATGGAAAAGGAGGTGGCCCTCCGCTGTGGGGCAGCACAGGGGTCCTCCCAAAGTCCCTGTTCGACCTTCCCTGCCCCTCCCTTCTCCACTGCCATCCCTGGGAAGTGCTGTTGCGAGGAAAGTCCTCAGCTGTGGCTCTTTCCCTGCAAGACAGACCTGCCCAGAGCAACCGGATCGGAAGATGCCAAACCCCTGTTCGGTTTGAGCGTGAACAGCCATTTGCTTCTGTACGTGGAACCGTTTGTACATCGACTGTTGGTGCCCCTCTCCTCTGGCCCATTAACCACAAAGCCTGACGATCTTTCTGTACTTATTTGTGTCTTATTCTGTAATCAGAATAAGAGGGAGACTCACCTCATAAAGCTGCCTGTTGACACTCAGCACGAAAGACAGGACATGCAAAACCTTTATGCGGACAGCACTCCGGCTCTCATTTCTAAGCAGAAAAGGTGGAGAAATAAAGTTGCTTTTCAAAAAGAGACCAAATCTATCCTTGCAGCTCAAAATCTTTTTTTTTTTTTTAACAAACTTTATTCAGTTTTTCACATTAAAAACAAAAATCTCTTTTTAGTGGACAACATATTTCCGGGTCATCACCTTTACATACAAATATGACAGCAATTATACATTCATATATGCATATTTAATTCTATTATTACCTTTTCCATTCCAAATTTTCAGTAAGGAGAGAAACAAACACATTAATTCTAGCCTCTTTCATTAATCTCAATCGAAACATCTTTTTGTTTCATTTCAATTATTTCAAATATAATCCTTTAATATTTATTTTAAAAATAAAGATAAACATTATGTGTTTGCCTAATAATAATAATAATAATAATAATAAAGGTTATCGATGTCTCTCCTGGGAAGAAGGCGGAGCCTCCTCACTGACGGACTGTACATCGCGACTCTCTGTGGCTATGGTCCGTGCTCTTTTGTGGGAGAGCCCCGATCATTACAATTAGGGGCTGAAGCTACCTTGGAGGGGCGGTGGAGTAAGGGGAAGCCGCAAGCCAGGTTGAGGGGAGCCGCATCTCCCCCCCTGGGCTTGGTCTTTTTCCCCCCGAAGATGACTGCAGCGGTGGTTTAAAATGGCCACCCCGAAGAGGAGGACTAAGCTGGATTAAGATTTATGCAGGAGGGAAGAAAGAGGTGGATAACATCTGAACCGGGACAACTGGGCAATACAACTAAACAAAAGTACCCCAGGATAAAGGTAACATGGAATTTTTAAGAAAAGAAAAGTGAGTGGCGAAATTACAAAGGGACAGGAAAAAAAATAAGAAAATATTTTTGACAGCTAAGCGGGGCTTCGAACCGGGAAAGGAAGAAGCCGGAACTAAAGATTTAACTAAATTGGACTAAAATATTTTGGGAATAAACAGGCATAAAATAAAGCTGGACTTAAGATTGTCAAATAATAATAATAATAAAGTTTACAAATTGGAGACTGGACTGTGCTGGAATACTGAGGTTTGAAAAACCCTAAACAAAAAAATAGGGGGAAAAGGTGAAGACTTTGTATAATGGAGAGTGCCACCTTTTGACAAAAACTTGATCTCAAACAAAAGGGAAAGCATCCTGTTTCTGAATGAACTTGTGTGGATATAACACTAAAGAAATATTGAAACAAAGTAAGAATCTTAGAAAGTGAAAGCAGAACCAGAATAAAGAAAAAAGCAAGGAAAGACTGACTGTGGGATTGATTGATGTTTTTGGTATAGACCCTGGGCTGGAATAATTGAGAACTTTAGAAAATTGAAAGAAGAAAGAAGGAAAGTAAAAGTGGTTTTTTTGTGGACTTTAACGATCATAAAATACAAGTGTGTAATGATGATATCTCTTCAGGAATTAAAAATGGAACTTAGAGAATTACTACAGGAAAGAGGCGAATCACTTTGCTCTGTGTTAGAAACAATGGAAATGGCGATTGAAGAACAAGAAGAAAGAGCTTCAGAGGAGGAGGAGTCGACTCAAGGAGAAGACATTTTAGATAGACAATTAACACAAAGAACACTACAAAGAAGTGGGGAAAGAAGGAAGGTTAAAAAGTTGAGATTTAAGAAGGCAATCAAAAGGGGGAATACCTGTGAAGTTGGGAAAGGCAGAAAGAACCAGCAGAAAAGGGGAAAGGAAGATATTAAGAAAGAGAGGGAAATAAACTGGAATGAGAAAAGATATGGGGAAGAGAGGGGGAGGAGAAGCAGTAAGAAACAGGTGCATTAAATAAAGAAATACGGAAATAGTAAAATGTTGAAAAGAAATTGTTTTTTCAGAGATAATTGTTGATGAATTAAAAAGGGGATTCTGCAGGGTGACAAGGATATTTCTGCAATTAAAAATATTTAGGAAATAGGGTACTATAGATACTGATAACTTTTATTAAAACTTAAGGGGGGAAAATATGCTGCAGAATCCAAATGAAAAAATGTAATGATTATTATTGTAACTTCTTAAAATTAATGGTTTATTGGGAATCAAGATGAGGGAATAAAGGTATATTTTAATCATTGAGGTGTCACACTCAAAGCAGTAAAGGGGGGGAAACCTATACTTGTTTTTTTTTTCTTTAGTGTTAAAATTTGTATTAATCTAGAATTTATAAAAATAATGTGTAATCGAAAGGAAATATGACAGATTAAAGAACCAACTAAATTAATAAATTAATATAGACTATTAAAAGCAGCTCAAAATCTTATGGTGGTCAGCGTTGCTCAGCTTGTTAAACTGTAAGCTAATCCTGGAATTCATCTGATCCTAAGATAGGTTCGCACTTTAGGCTAAACCAACCTTTGCTTTATTCAGGGGTGATGTGCTTCTGGGCTAATAGGAGATGTTCCAATTATTTGTTATCCTAATTGTAACAGTTAACTTAAAACAATATAATTATAGAAATACTGCTACTAATAAAAGTATGCATCACATGTAGTTTTTCCATCATGTTATTGAAGTTGTGAGATGGACCTGATTTTACAGCAATTTTTATGGCGGTCATTAGACAAATCACTGTAGTCATTAAGCAAACAATATGGTCATTAAGCAAATCCAGCTTCCTCAATGGGCTTTTTACCACTTTTTGCCAGAAAACAGCAAAAAAAAAAAGTCAGAGATTGCAATCACAAGATCCCACTTTAACACCTGGCAACCAACGCACATTTATGACCAATTGCCAAGTGCCCAAATTGTGATCACATGACTATAAGGGTGGAACAGATCAAGCGTGAGTCCAGGTCATAAGCCACTCTTTCCATGGCTGTTTTAACTTTGAACCATTGTCAAATGTACTGTGATAAGGCGAGAAATACCTGTAAATCGTTGGTTTTAATTATTTGGATTTCCTGTACTGTAAACTGTGCTTTGCACTTATGTCTGGGACCCAGGCAACCGTGGCTTCAACATCCCTACTCCAATGTGGAGATGCAGCCACAGAAATGTAAGCAATGTGACAGAACATCAGGTCCAATGCAACATCAACAGAAGCATTTGCTGCTCAAGCGTGCCAATCTTTGACCAGCCCACTGTCTCTTTCTAGCCCCTTTAACAAAAGAAGAGGCCACCCTTGCTCAGTCTCAATAATTCCAGTTTGGAATAATCTGAACCAGGGAGAAATTTTTCCTAATATTCCTTCAGTTATAATATGTTGGTTGGTATCCAATCATTTAGAGCAAAGTGAAAGTAAGTTTGCTACTTCAACTATAGATTCAGTATTCAAACCAAGGTCAGGTGCAAACCCTCCCTACCCCCCCTGGTGAATGGAGCTCACGGCTACCCATTCAACCCACTTCTCAGAGTTTTGGTTCGGGCAAGTTTGAGGGGGGACATCCGTGTGAACGGCCTTGAGCCAGAGGAGAGATGGGGGCATTATTGCAATAAGTAGTATTAAGCATCAGGAAAGTATGATCACGTGGGCTGGAGTCATAAATAGCTCTAAACCATAAAGCAGTTCACAAACCACAATGGCTGCAAACTATCCTGGTTTGGCAGACTGCGTGAGTTCAATCAGAGTCCCTTCCTTCCCTTCAGCATCCTCATCTGGCAAAGTCTGGAGAGAAAACAGGTGATGTGGAACCACGGAGGAGTTGTTGGTCCTACCTGAAGAACCTGTCCATTAGTGCCTGGAGGTTCTGAATCCAGCCGTCCTTCGCAGGGTGGATGGACTGAGCCCGGTAGGTTATGAGGTTCAGAACTGAAGATTCCTTCCAAAAGGCAACAGAGAGGTAGCAGTGAGGGGGGAAAGGATACTGGAGTTCTCAGTAATTTTCATTTCAACTATCTTTTGTTTCTTATATAATTCTATGTCCAGCTTTTATATTTTAATATTTTACATTTACACCGGCCAGAGTCTCTCTGTGAGGAATACAGGCAGTTTCTGAATTTGATAAAATTAAATAAAAATAGCCTCCTACCTAAGATCCAAGCATTCTGGCTTAAAAAGTACCAAGTTTTGTTTCTTACTACTTTATACACATATATATGCAAAAGAAAAAAAAAAGAATCAGGATCATGCAGACCCAATGTAATCATTTGGAAGGGATGTGACTTAAACGGTGGTCTTTTCCAGTGGCAGTTAGAAAGTGGGACATATTATCTGCCCTGCAGTTTGCAACTTAGCTTTCTTTTTAATTCATGAATAACATTAAAAGTTGGTTTTTTTGTAACTGTAGCTGAGTTGCACATACAATTTCTTCACAAGATCAAACCAGTTTTGGGAGAATAAATAACATTTAAAATAATGGGCTTTATTGATCAAGAATGATTTAATCATGACACAATGGGGACAGAGAGTTAATTGATACAGAACATTTCTGTCCCCAGCACTCTAAAACTAATAGAGTTTGTGTGGGTAAGAATATCAACCTTGCTGTCAAGGAAAATCAAGCTTTTGATAGTGTGTGCCATACCATGCGCAGCGATCAAATAAGTCAGGGGTCCCCAACCACCGGGCCCCGGACCGGTACCGGTCCGTGGAACATTTTCTACCGGGCCGCTGGTTTGCTCTTGTTTCGATGAGAAAGTGCTTCCGGGTGAGCTTTTCCGGTTGGAAAGCAGCGTTTGGGTCCTGAAGGAATCCTCGCGCCTTAGTTTCATCGAAGGGGGGGGGGCTTCGAACAAAACTAAGGCGTGAGGATTCTTTCAGCACCCAAGGCAAGGCGAGCCGAGCGACCGTCCCGAAGCCGTCCCAAAGCCCATCGACAAAGGTACAAAGGAGGAGTTGAAGGTGGCGGGGAGAAGCAGAGGACGGCTGGCTGGCTGGTCGCTCGGCTCGCCTTGCCTTGTCATGCGTGCTGATGCCGGTACCGGGCCGCGGATCATTTTGTGATGCCGGTACCGGGCCATGGCACAAAAAAGGTTGGGGGCCACTGAAATAAGTGGTAAGGAAGTAGGGGAACTCAGGCACAAAACAGGCTATATATAGAATGTAAACCCAGAATCAGTCAAAAAGGACTCAAATGTCTATACACCAACCCACAGAGTAGGAAGAACAAACAGGGTGAAATAGAAATTCAAGTAAATAAGGGCAGATATGACATTATTGCCATTATAGAAACTTGATTAAGATAGAAAAATGTGGGTTAGACAGCATCAGCACCAGATGGACTCAGATGATTGCTGACCAATCACATTCTCCAAAGTACCAGAGGGCAGGACAAGAAACCATGGATGGAAACTGATCAAGGAGAGAAGCAACCTGGAATTGAAGAGAAACTTCCTAAAATGAGGACAATTAACCAGTGGAACAATTTGCCTCCAGAAGTTATGAACGGTATAGGGTTTCCTGCTTAAGCAGGGGATTGGACTAAAGGACTTCCTTCCAACTCTGTTATTCTGTTCTATTCTGCAAACCTGAAATCCTAGCTTATTTCTATTTTTCAAACTATAGTTCAAGTGCTCCTGCCAATTATAAGAAGGTCTCAAATGTGGTTCTGGGAAAAGGAGGAGGAAATGGATCTGAGGAAGCAGGATTTCTTTTGCTCTTTTTCTCTGTTAAAGAAGCCATAATTGAAACAAATCCCACGTGTGAAAAAGAAAAGTACACTCTCTTTGAGATCTATGGTTTCAGAGTAAAAATCATCTGGTCTTTAGCAGTTCTTGAAAGTAGAGCCTCAGATGAACAACACAATTTCACACAATTTTTGTTTGAGCATTGCATGCTCTGACCTTGGAGTTTGCTGGGACCTCCACTCCTGGAAGACTAGCACTGCCTTGAATGTTTCCCCCTCGTGAATAATCTTCCTCTCTGCAGAATGGCGGACTTTAAAGGATCTGGAAATGGCCTTTATAGGCCTTCCCAGATTGATGGGCAGCACCAGTTGCTTCCCTTGAAATCGTTTCTGATGCCTTTCCCCTTTGGCATTGGGTGAACCTCAGTGCTGGGGACCCGCAAACTCCTAAAACTTTGGCTTTTCTAGAGGTTGTCACAACTGCTGAGGATCAGCTGATCAAGGCCACCAGAATAGCAGCAGCACCTCCTCCTACCTGTGGAAGCAGTCAAGGTGTACTTTTTCACACATGGCTTCTCCATTTTTACTTTCTCTTTGTAAAATAGAGGATGACATGGTATAAAATGCCAAGTGCTGGTCTTCATCTGAGGTTGCATTTACGTATTTTAAAGAGCCGCTGAGGACCAGGTGATTTGTACTATGTTCCAAATGTGGAGAGAAAAGAGGATCTGAAAGGGTCCGCAGGCCACAGACCCAGGGAGGGACCAGCATGGCATCTGCAGGTAGACCTCGACTTGGGACCACAACTGAGGCTATCATTTCCACTCTGCTGAGCAAGACATTTGCTACATGATTTTTGCTCCGTTTTACACATTTTCTTGCCACAGTTGTGACATGATAAGACAGTAACCCAGTTGATAAAGGAATCTGGCTTCTCCATTGACTTTGCATGCCAGGAGGTCTCAAAAAATGACCACACGACTCCGGGACACCTGTGATCGTCATAAATAGGGGCCACCTGCCAAGCGTTCAAATGTTGATCCCATGACCAGGGGATGCTACAATGGTCCGAAGTGTGAAAAAGGGCCCTAAGTACCGTTGTTAACTTTGAACAGTCTCTAAAGGAACGGTTGTAAACTGGGGACTACCTGAGCTTTCTTTTCTCCCTGACTGTAGCAAAGCACTGAACGCAATGCTATCCAAGGCTCCTCAGCTGGCTTCTGCCACTCAGAAGCCACTCAGGAGTGCCTGGAAGACCACCACCACGTGCATGAAATAAGCAACGGTGTCAAGGAGCCCTTTGGGGCTGAATAAAACAATTAGAAGGGATCGCTGGAGGGGACCCTTTCCCTCCTGAAGCCTTACAGGCCTTCGGTCAGCACATCGCTCCACAAGTTCGAAGTATCTCTCTTTGGAGCCGTGGAAGTCGTTCTGGTCACACAGCTCCTCAACCGTAGTCAGCAAATCGTGGACAATGGATTTCAGCTCCTGGCTTTCCAAACTCTAGAAGGCAGAAGGGGGGGGGGGGGAGAAAAAAACCCTTACTTCAACATACGGTCTAGCAGAGCTGCTTCCATTAACCCCGCTGCCCGTTCTTCCTAGCTGCAGTTCATAACCCAAACTGCCATACTTGGGATTCAGCTAATTTCCCCCTAGCAATTATTTAATCAAGATCCTCTATTTCCGTGAGAGTTACGGGTGCAGGAACAGGTGCAGGCTGCTGGACCTTCAAGAAAGAAGCAAACTTCCAGATGGAAAGCAGGAAACAGACAAGTTTTCTGCCCTAAATTTAGAGCAGTTGCATTTGAGAGTAAGGACAGTCTCCAGAATCCTTGTGCTGTTGCCTTCCTGCCCATAAATAGTATGAATCTGAGTTCCTAGTCTTATTCTGTGGATTAACTATTCCAAATCTAGACAGCAAATAGGTACTTCGGGATTACCCACATTATGATTTTCTCAAGGAAAGGATAACTGCATTCCAAGCAATGCGTCCTAGTTTAAATAGGTCACTTATTTGTGCATTACAGATACACAACCAATTTGGTGCCTGAACCCAATGCCATGCGTTTTGCCTGTTTGGGCCCATGCATGAAGTGAGATACAGGTATTTCAAGTAGACAGTGAAATGTGGCTATTCTGAGCAAGAGAAATGGGTGAAGGAAGGAATGAGAGCTGGTAAGATGCCACGCTCATCAGTGGTGACAGGGGTGGGGGTGGGGGGACAAGAGAGAAGGAGAGGGGCACTGGAACAATCAAGGGGGCAAGCAGGCAGACAGGCAGGCAGGCAGGAGGGAGGTTGGGAGTGGTTGAGGACAGGAGGGCTTATTCACATCAGCCTTGTTGCCCTTCTGCTTCTGGGATTTTGTGTGATCTGAAACTTGGGACTGAAAGCTCCCAGTGGCCCTTCTGCCAAACTATGGCTGAACTGAAATGGTCAGGAAGAACTTCTGGAATGCTTGGTTTGCCCCAGACTCCAAACACCACAGCTTTTCCTTTTCATGCGCACCCATATTGCACATCATAAAACTGTATGGTGTTACCCATGCCAGCAAAAGGACAGAGATGGCTTCTAAATTCCTGGACTCAGTTTTGACCAATCTTGAAGAGAAAGAGCCCCTCAATGAAACGAAAGAACAGCAGCAGAAAGCACAAAAATGCAGGAGGTTGTAAGAACCACCTTCAATCCACACACACACACCAGAAGTTCACAATCTGGTCAGCTGCAGAGCAAACTCTGCTCCACCAGGAGGGCATCTAAAACAGGCAGGGCACCAACCTGCAGCTGCTCGACCAGCCGCTGCATGATATCCAAAAGGACGTCCCAGGTGACTGCCTGAAGGTCCTTGCCGTATTTCTTGATCAGCCTTGTTACGGAGAGGACGATTTCGTAAGACACGATGGCATTGGGGGCGGACATGGCCTGGAAGGAGAAGAGGAAAGAGCTGCTGCAGTAGAAGCAGCGCCTGAACCCCACTCACCTGGGGACCAAGCAGACTACGGAGGCATCCCACCCCCGAGATCCTCCCCCACCCGGCTCAGCCTTCTCCTCCCAGGGGGCCATTAATGGATCCTAGGGATTTGTTTCTTTTGGGTTTCTGCTTGTTTTACAATCTCCGATATGGCTCAGAAGCTGCTCTGGCAGGAACTATTATCTTGAGATAAGTTGGAATGTAAATAATTGTAATGATTAAATATTCATGGAGCTATACCCACAGCAACTGAAGTGCTGCATCTAAAGCTAATAAAATCGGGCTGGTAATTGGTGGCGTGAGATGATCACCATGCCTGGAGATCAGAGCCAGGAGAAGGAAGCCTGGCTGGTCAGGGACCCCGGTTAGACCCTGCTGCTTGGAACTCCAGCTGGGCTTTCTCAAACCGAGGGCCCAGGGAGAGCACGATGCGGAGGAGAGGAAAGCCCACTTCAAGTGGTGTGAAGTGGGACAGTGGCGAGGGGTTTGCCAGGTGGTGCCCTAGCTCAAAATGGTGGTGGCAAAGGGTCCTTCAGCACAACACCTATCTGTGGGTGTTGCATTGCGATATATGTCCGTGGGCAACCCAAATTGCCAGTTATAGCCTATAAAGCCCTATATTGACATGACTCCCAGTTAATTTGGGACTGTCTCCTTCAAGCAGGTGCTGCCCATCCCACAGGTCTCCATTGGGACCCTCATGCTCAAGAGACACATGGGGGGGGGGGGGAATCCAGAAGCAGATCTCCTCTGGTCTTGGCCCTCCCCAGAATGGCTGCTTCCCAACTGAATTTTAGGAAGACGGTGGTAGTGGTGCTCTTTTGCTGGGGTTAGGGGGAAAATAGAGCACAAGTGGTTGACTCTGCTTAGGGATTTTTATACGCGTGCTGTTTCTACATTGTATTACTATGTAGCTGCTTTCATCAGTATTATTTAAATCCAAAAGCTGCATCATTTTTTGTATTTTTGTTGGCCATAAGCCATCTAAAGTCTGGGAAGAAAGTGGTATACATATAGTACAAGTTAGGAAATATTTGTTATTTTTGACCTAAGCATATTTTATAGTAAAATTAATAACAAATATAAGTAGTACACAAATGGTAGTATTGTGCAAGTAGGACTCCAGGCCATCACGCTGCTCTGAGTAGAACTGGATGTTTGTGAAAAGTTGCAACCGAGAGAGGAATCCAAGCTGCTCTTGGGGCTGATAGATTCCTCGGATTCCTGCTTGCTCACAGCCCTTACGAGGCTCATACCTGGGGTGCAAGCAGCTAAGACACTAAGAAGAGAACCATGTACTCAGTGATCTCTGAAGAGACCCCCTGCCCAGCACTCATTTGCTTGTCACGCCACCTTTCCTCCAAGGAGCTCGGGGGTCTATAAAAGATTCCCCTTACCCAAATTGTATCCTAGCTGCTCTCTGCAGGTAGGCAAGGCAACTAATCCTCAACCTGCAGTGAATACTCAGTGAACTTGCTTTTCTACCAAGAACCCATGGCAACCTTTGCAAGCAGGGAACTTTGGGAAGAGTTGGGCCAACCACCATGAAGGCTCTGGCTTATGGTTGTGCTGCCCTTGGAATTATTTGGAATAAAATCCAACGCATCTGGAAGCTGTAAGTTTGGAGAGGCAACTCTCCCCCACCCTGTTCCAAACCCTTTTCAGGTCTCACGTTTACCTTCAGGAAAGAGGGCAGCACAGATGTTGGTGAATTCTTGAGAGACTGCAGTCTGTGTGCCCCCCACAGGGCCATCCCCACAAAGAAGACAGCTCCCCTCAGGAGGACAGCATCTGCCACGTAGGCCCTGAAAACAGAGAACGGAGGCAAGTCTGCCTAGTCCTCCTCACAAAAGTCTGCACAACAACAGCAGGACCCAGATTTCGTGCATTTCCTACGTCAACATGAAGTAACGTTTCATTTTGTGTGGCACCCAACCCTCTCTCTGCGCTTCCAAAGTGGTCCTTCAACATGCCACAACTAAGGCTTGCTCTCCCCCCCCCCCCCCCCCGAGAAAGACATGCAGCCACATACCTATCCTCCATGATCCGACACATGTTATAAATGGCACTATGACCCAGGTGAGTTCCCAACAGATTCCGCATGAGCTGAAGGACAAATAAGGGCTCTCTGTTAAGTGTACAGAATCCCAAGAATCCTGCACAGAAAGCACTGTACATTTTGCAACAAAGAAATGAAGGGAGCATCAAGCCTGGTGACAAATTCTCCAACAGAAATTTAATAAAACTGTATAACATTTACATCAATTATGTGCTGTATGGCAGGGGTCTCCAACCTTAGCAACTTTAAGACTTGTGGACTTCAATTCCCAGAATTGAAGTCCACAAGGCTTAAAGTTGCCAAGGTTGGAGACCCCTGCTGTATGGTAGATAATCTGGCATAGTCTTCTAAAACATCACCCACACATTTTCAATGCAAAACTCCTGTTCTTTAAAGCCCAGATAGGTTGAGTTTCAGATGTTCTTCTGGCGCAAAGCGGCCAGTAAAGGACTGGCCCCTGATCTGTAAGTGGCAAAACCAAAAACCTTGGTGGGGGGGGGGAGACGACATTGGAGCGGAGAGGTGCTGGAAGAATTCTGAGCAAAAGCCAACTCTTCAGACCTTCTCCCTGCCAACCTGACAGCTCCAAAAAGGGCAGGCAGAGACCCCTTTATTCAGGTCTACTCTGCCTTATCCCAGGTATTTTGGACGGAACTTCTAATAGAGGATCACGGCCAAAAGGAGGCTTTTTGAAACCCCCCCTCCCCCTTCTTCCTCCATGGAAATACCTGCTCCCATCCTAGATCTCAAAGCAACTTTCTTTGGAAAATAGAAGGATCTGGCCATGTTTGCCCAGCGATAAGAACATTACCAGATCAAAATATTAGTTCACACATCCATCTGATTGAATTTGCTGTTTGGGATTGAATCTGCCTTATTCCACTCAACCTACTTGTAAAAATAGCACTAAGCGTAAACAAAGCACATTACGTCTTAGTATATGACATGAACCAGACGTGTATACCAGGGCTTGCTTAACTATCATACGTGTTAGGAATAACATGGTTACCTAACTTAGTTTGGGTAAAATAATATATATAGACTATGATTGTGTGTGTCACTTTAAATGCAAACCATGTATTTTGGGTGCGGTTGTAAAATCACCATAAGAGGGAGCAAGAGAGCTCACTGTTTGCTGGCTTTTACTGGATTGCTGACAATGATGGATTGATGGCGATAACTGCGTGTTTTCCTTGCTATTGCTGAATGAAGAAAAGAGGTTTGATTTTCTTCATATCTCTGCTGCAAAAAGAGATATATTACTGGACTGATTATTTGTGAGTTTACTGATCTCTTTTTCGACACTGGACTTTGCTAATGGATAATCCCCGGACGGACTGAACTAAGTGTATGATATATGGACTGTTTGACTATGCTAACAATCTTACTGGAATAAAACTATTTAACTGGCACAGTGTATCTGATTTTCTGA